ATTTCGACAGTAGCTAGATAGATATCGTCGCACTGCAGCTCCGATAAGCAGCTTGTCTTTTCATTTGGTCTGTGTGTCACGTCACACCTGTTCTACTCGCGCATTTCTCTCCAGCTGATCGAATTGCTTATGTCCTACTGCATCAAAATACGCGTCACGTTTATGCTGATTCTATAGTTTTATGCAAATAACGAGTTATTTGAAAAGAAGAATAAAGACTGATGGAGAAGGGGGAGAGCTGCTTACGGCCTTGACGAACTTTTATTAAGGCTTTGGGCAAAGAATCAAAGAAAGATTCCTGAGCAAAGACGAATATCGAGAAAAGTGTATATTTCATTAGATTTGTTAAATTTGTGACTATTGGAGCCTGTATAAACATGTATTATTTTGAAACAGTTTATTTAATGTTTCTACTTCCGCTTATTCAATTTTGCATTTACAGCGTTATTTGGATTAAAAAATGAATAAATAAACTACAAACTTCCTTTTATACTAATTTTTGTAAGTAAAATATCATGGCTCATAATAATGAAAAACAATTCTATATATTTATGTGTTTAAGTTGTCAAATAAAAAAAAATTATAAGTTTATAACACTAATATTTATATAATCTTGATTAAAAAATAAAACATAATTAAAAATTTACAAATAGAATATATCTTTATCCTATTTAATTTGAAATTTTTCAATTAAAATATTGTACTTACTAAAAAGTAACTTCATTGTAAATTATAGCATAAAAGTTAATCATAGAAATATATATTTATCTAAAAATTTTACTATTTTTATAATTCATTCTGTAATATAATTATGAAACTTATTCAAAGATATTTAGCAGTATTTTCACATCTCGTTTTCTCCATTCCGAAAGTATAGTAAAATTGAAAGGATAATGTGGTTCAACAAATATTTTCTAATACTCTGAAGTTCTCATTTTAATAATATTGGATTTTTTACAAAAGATGTATAGATCATTTTATATTTTTATATAATGAACTTCATTTACATGCTTTAATTTAGTTGTCAAAGTATGTTGACCTTTACTTATAACAAATTAATAAAATCATCCGATAATTATTTTGCATTTTTTTAAATTGTTTAATATGTTTTTAAATACAGTATAATAAAATCTATTAAATTATCGGATAATCTTTTATATATCAATTCATAATAAAATAATTGTTTAATTTACAACATTTCAAATTTTATGATATATAGTAATTATTGACTTACTTGATGCTATTATTCTGCTATAAATATTTAAGTTATATTAAAATTGTAAATATATAGATATCCGGTATACTTTTGCATTTCAAAAAATTTATTTTTTAATCCAAAATTTTTGTTTTAAATTGCTTGCATTCTATACAAGTGGTCGATAAGTACTTATTGCATGCATACAGATTGATAAGAAATCTTGTATATGAAATATATTTTCATCGAGTTATTTTAATTTTTTATCTCTCACCTTGTATAACTAAATATCTAAGCATTTGATAACTTAACATTATATATGTAACTTATTAAAAAGTAATGATAATATATTAAATATTAAATACCACTATTTACTGTTTTAAATTTTATTCTGATTTGTTTCCATTTGTAGCTCTATTATTATTGAAAAGAACAATATAAACAGATGCATTGAAAATAAAAATATTATTTATATCTGATTGAATAGAAAACTAATCTATTATATAAATATATTAATTTATTTAATTGATTAATAACTAGTCTAAAGAATGTTTAAAATATAGTCAGTTGCATGTTGAGAAAATCTTTGAAAACTATATTTAATATATAAGTACAATGAAAATAAATTTCTTTTGAGATAATGTATTTATAAATATTATTTTTATCGCTATATTTTTTAAAAAATGTATATATATTCATCTATACATTTTCGTTAAATAACAGCATAATATGTAGCCTAATAAGGTTATTTAGAAAATTTATTAATCATAGTCACTATATTAATCTATATTAATCTATGATAATATTGAAGTTTTTTTATTAAAAAGTATTTTTATTACAGTTTCATATAGAATAAATTTGTCTAATTATGCCTCAGTTTCAAAATATTACTAAAATTATATTGTTTCAAATAATAGATATATTTAAAAAATATATACAGTAATATTTATATTTATTTCTTGAATTATATAATGTGCATTATGTAATATACAAAATGTATAATATACATACATTTTTGAAGATTGTTACACATGTAACGTAAATACATCTACTTATGAACTTTAACTGTGATATGATTATTATTCGAAGAATAAATGTGGATCCCAATCTATAGCTCAACTAAAGAAATATTTGTAATAAAAATAAAAGATATCATATTCAATTTTATCAGTGATACATGATTGTCACAATACTATTTCACCTTTTCTTTTATATATTCATTTCTATTGAAGTATTTGTAAAAAATCAAACTATATTTATTTTTCTGAAATAATAAAATGTGACATAATAATTGTTCGGGATTGAAGCAGTTCCATGAATTTCAAACAAAAGAAAGGTCATACACGCAGCCCGGCATACCGCACGTGCGCCTAGGCTGATCCGCGCGTGCGGACCGAGGCGGGCACTCGAGAAAATGTTTACAAACAAAACTCGGCAAGTCCGAGCAAGGTTACGATTTGAAATATTATTTACTGCCAGCACTCACAAAAAGGGGCGCCTTCGAAACTTCTAGAAGCTTCGTTTTCTCACGCCAAAGGAAAATTTCTGGAAGGGACGCGCATCGACACTGTTGCCGGCGCTGAAGACGCCGCATGCACATTTAAGCGCAACGCGCCATGAGGCGACGCTCATTCGTACAATCACTTCGCTCTCAATCAAGCGTAACTGCCGGTCAGTGCAAGTATACTGTAAAGACGCCGCGTGCCCACATTTTCGACAACATAAGCTCACTCGTAAAGTTCACTTCGCTCTCCATCAAGCGTACCTGCCGGTCAGTGCAAGTATACTGTAAAGACGCCGCGTGCCCACATTTTCGACAACATAAGCTCACTCGTAAAGTTCACTTCGCTCTCCATCAAGCGTAACTGCCGGTCAGTGCAAGTATACTGTAAAGACGCCGCGTGGCCACATTTTCGACAACATAAGCTCACTCGTAAAGTTCACTTCGCTCTCCATCAAGCGTAACTGCCGGTCAGTGCAAGTATACTGTAAAGACGCCGCGTGGCCACATTTTCGACAACATAAGCTCACTCGTAAAGTTCACTTCGCTCTCCATCAAGCGTAACTGCCGGTCAGTGCAAGTATACTGTAAAGACGCCGCGTGGCCACATTTTCGACAACATAAGCTCACTCGTAAAGTTCACTTCGCTCTCCATCAAGCGTAACTGCCGGTCAGTGCAAGTATACTGTAAAGACGCCGCGTGGCCACATTTTCGACAACATAAGCTCACTCGTAAAGT